AGCCTTTATTTTCAAGCTCAGAGCTTGGACTCTGTCCTACGCAGCAGTGAGAGCAGAGAGCCCAGGCAGGGTGGGGTTTTTATCATAGCAGAGATTGGGGTGAGGGGATTTCCAGGGTTCAGGACCCTGGTTAGCTGACATCTGTCTAGGGGTATAGGGAATGTTTGGAATGTCGGGTATCTCTCCTTAGATGCAGGCCTCCCTAGGTGGGGTCAGCTTATGGCTTTCCCTGGGTCCAGGTGTTGCCTGCCAGAAGCCGTGTCTGGGCCTCTAAACCCATCATGGCAGCTGTGTGGTCAGGCTGTTTTGGGCCCCCCCACAGGAACATGGACATAGGACAGCCAGATGGCTGCCCACTAGGGAGGGCTGGTTCTGGAATCTGAGAAACTGCAGTTAGCAGACCAGAGGCCTGGTAGTGGTGAGACGAACTACCGTAACCAGGATCCACTTATTAAACGATGCAGGCCAGGCGTAAGCAGTGCCGAAGTCAGGACTGCTAAGTCTGTCGGCTGTAGGGCAACTGGGTCTCGAGTCTGCCGGGGAACCGGAGGCAGGCAGACCTCAGGAGGCGGGCAGACCCTAGGAGGCGGGCAGACCCCAGGAGGCGGGCAGACCCTAGGAGGCGGGCAGACCTCAGGAGGCGGGCAGACCCCGGGAGCTTCCCCTGCGGAGTGTTGGAAGGCCCAAGGAAGGGCAGAGTCTCTTCCATCACTGCCCCGTTACCTGCCCACTGTGCTGAGGCGAACTGTGCAGATGTCTATGGCCTGGCTTCCTGACATCCGACCAGCTGCTACTCCTGTCCTCATGCACACTGGGGATGGGAAGAATGAGAGCCTCTGTGGTTTCCCTTCTTCCTTGGCTGTAGAGCTCTGAGTGGGCCACACATGACTTCCATTTTTGAAGAGATAGAAGATTTTTGTGCTGAAGAGAGGGTAATTACGGAGTCTACTTCCTCCAGTTGTAAACATCTGGACACATGCCTATGGAAGGTGTGCAGTAATAGACAGATGGCCTCAGCCTTAGCCAGAACAAAATATGACTGGGAGACCTCTGCAGTGAGGACTCATGCTTCTCACATCCAGAGAGACCATTGAGAAACCAGTGCACCCGGGAAGAGCAGGTTGTAGCCATAGGACACTCTACATATCATGTTCAATAACTCAGCTGGGCCTAGAAGGGTTAGTTACTCAGGTGTCCATTTCAGGAGAGGCTAAGGGTCAGCAGAGGAGGGTCTGGGGACGAGGACCCCATCGGATAAGTAGCAACATGTGATCCATGTAGCTGGTTTCCTGGAGGGGGTGGGAATAGCTGGAGAGTGGTCTAAACGTTTTTATTGGATACTCTGCCTGTGATCCCTCCTCCTCTGAGAACCTGGGAATGTCCCTTGTCTCTCAGGAAGCATCATCCTCTAGTTTATATAAACTCTGAGGTAGGACTGGTGTGGACACCCAGCCTAGCCAGTTGGTTCCTCTGCCCAGGAATTAGCATTGGAATGTAGAGATGCTGACACTCAGCCCAGGAGGACACCTGAGCTCAGGAATGTTGCCTGGTGCTATGATCTTAGACACATGATGAAAATAGACTGCAGATGGCTGCCCCTGAGAAACCCAGAAAGAAACCCCACAGGAAGGAGAAAGACGTGGAGCAGAGAAGGCTGCTCCTTGCTTCTTGAGGACTTTCCAGGCAGTTTCTGGTTCCTGGCCCTCGTGAGATACTTCGTGTTCTTATGTAACCCCCTTATTAAATGAGCCGGACTCAGCCAGGTGTAAGAAGAGACCAGACCAGCCTCACTTCTCTCCGTTCCCTTTCAAATGTCCTCTGTGAATATTTGATTTTGTTTTTGCCCACTCACCCTGTCCCCCACATGAAGCTGAGAACTCAGCAGGCCCTTAGTCCCTTCGAACAGTACCCTCGTTCCAGATAGTTGCGTGTAGGGGTCAGGTCTGGCCTCCTAAAGCCTGGCAGCTTTGCTGGCCTGGAGCCTGGCAAGACATGAGGTGGGCTTCTTTGCTGGCTTTTACCAGTCCCACGGCTCTCTCCCCAGCCTACAGTGTCTCTGGCCCTTGGGATGGGGCTGGGGAGGTATCTTCTATGGTGGCCTGGTTTTCATCCAGAGCTTGGGCTAGGTTTGAAAACTCTACTTGGTCACCCCCTCGTTGTGGGTTTTTCCCTTTCCTTCTGGGTACCTCCAGCTCCCCCCTCTCCTTGAAGGTGGGATGCTGCTTCTCCACTATGACCTAGCTTTCTCTTGCCCCTGCCCTCCTCCCTGCTTTGGTGCCTGGGGCCTTAGGCTAGGGGTCTAGTCTTGGAGCAGTGCCCCTGTTGGTCCTGATATTTGCTGTTGTTTGGCTTGGGGTGAGGGGCCACCTCCCTCCCTCCTCTGGGGTCTCTCCCCTTCACTGAATACACAGCCTAGGAGGGCATTGGCCGACACTGCAGAGGCTGTTTCCTCTTTGCAGAGTAGTCTCACACTTGCTCTGGAATGTGTGATTCCAGGGAGCTGTTATTTCTTTAGCCTCTGGACTCTCAGGCAAAACTACTGCAGTCGGCACCCTTGTACACACGCCCTTGTACACACACACACACACACACACACACACACACACACACCCTTGCACACACACCCTTGCACACACACCCTTGTACACACCCTTGCACACACACATACCCTTGCACACACACATACACACACCCTTGCACACACACCCTTGTACACACCCTTGCACACACAC